ATCTCTCTCTGCATCTGTGTGATGTGGGGGCAAAGACACCCGCCGCTTTGCTGGCATCGCACGGTGCCCTGGGATCTGCGAGTGAGATGTGATGCCCACGCGCTGTGGAGCTTGCAAACAGGGCTTCATGCTTCACAAGTTTGCTATTAACTGGGACACAGCACGCAAGCTGTGGACTGACCATTGGTCTGACTTCAGTGGTCTATAATGCTTTCAATGAGTTGTAAAGGCACAGCTGTAGGTACGTGGAGGCTGAGATACGATGCAGGATTGGCCTCCTAAAGTTAGCTTTTGTCAGGCTAACCCCATATCTTCCTTTGAAAAGGTAACTGATTTCCTCAGCAAAGAGATGACTTCGTGGTGAGAGGTTAATATGATGCTGCATTACATCATAAGTGGTTTGTTTTTTCTGGAGAAGACACAGTATAGTCCAGCTGTTGTAGGTGAAGAGCTGGAAAATGGAGAAGTGGTGGTGGGAGGTGTTGAAAGAGGAGATAACTGCTGAGGTTCCCTGGAGGTGATGTTGGTTCCTGCTTTTGTTGAGGATGCTGGCACAAAAGGCAGGAGCATACTCGTGGACTTTGCTGCTGGCACGGTGCTGGGGCTGCGGGAATGCAAAGTGGGGTGAGGGTGGCCAAGGAGAAGAGCAGCAGTAGCAAAACCAAGAGTCTGTAATGCAAAGTGGGATGAATGCAAATGTGGGTGTAACGGGGCTTTTGCTGCCAGCTGGGAATTCATGTCAATTGGAAGCAACCTGGTGGATAGAAGTGCTTGGTGCAGTGCTCAATTATGGGGTAAAAACAAGCCTCCAGGCTGATGGGGCTATGAGAAAGGCCAGCGTGATCTCAGGCTGAAAGTCACGGTGTTTCCAGTGTAACTGGGGAGTTGCTTGTGCTGTTATACAAGTGAGACCTCCTGGAGATTGCTCTGTGGTTTTGGTCACTCTTATTCAAGAAGAAGGGACTTAAATAGGCTGATGAAGAAAATAGAGAACTGTTTTCTATAATAGTGTCTATCACAGTGGTCCTTCTTGCGTAGGTCACCAAGCATGAGCGCCAGTTGTGATGGGTCTGAAACCAGAAGCAAAATAACCTCACCAGGGGGACTCTGCCTGAGCAATATATCTGCATCACTTCTGGGACTTGAGTTAGTATCTCTTCAAGGCACTTGAGACAATTTGCCTTGCACTTCACTGCTTGGTACAGACTTGCTGCCTTAGAAGAGCTGGCTTCACGTAACTTATAAATGATAGCTGGGTGGGTCTGGCTCTTCCTTGTAAAGGAAGGAGGAGAAAGTGCTGGGAAAGTAAAAGCTGATTAAGCAAAGACAATTTTGACACAAGAGAAAATGGATGTAAAATGCTTGTGGGCAAGAGATGAGAAGAGCAAGGGAGTTCTGGTGCAGTGTTTCAGTGTGAGTTGGGAGGGCGAAGCCCTAGCTACTCCTAAGGTGGATTTTGATCAATCTGTAAAAGACATGGTATAAAGGCAGCTCTGCAGTGCAAGGAGACCTGGACCAGCAGGACCCTCCAAACAGACAAGAAGTATGAGAATGAGGAGAGTATTTAAACAAGCACCCCCTTCACCACCCCCCCCCCCAAAAAAAAAAAGTGAGCAACCTCATCTGTGCTAGCAATGCGTCTCATATGGTCTTGATTAGAAGTTGGAAATGAGTCTAGGTGGAAGTGTATATGGTGAGCACTTCAGGATTTGTGAAGTATGGTATTGGTCTTGAAGCTATTGTGTCTTGCAGAAGAGCAGCTTACTTTAGTAATAACTGAGGAATGCCACAGGAATATATATTTAGAGACGTTTGCAGGGAGGAGGGAGTAACCCACTGACTGTAATTCATACCTCAATGCCTGATTGCAGAGACCAGGGCAGGGCTGGGAGTTATCACATCTGTATTTGGCATGAACCCAGCACCCGTGTTCCTGCCAGGTTAATGAACCGAGGCAGAGGAGAAGGGAAGGTCTCAGTCTTCAGCAGCAATTGGGAGGATGTAAGATTTCTAGGGCAAGCAAAACCCTGGAAGGAAAAGAGGGGGAGCTAGTTGAGATACTGAAGGACGTGAAGAGGGACTTAAATTTTAGGGTGGAGTTTCTTTGCTTGGTTGGTTTTCTTTCCTGTGCAACCACTGCCAATTTTGCAATCACAGCTTGACTCCTTGAGCTTTCAGAATAAGATGCATTTCTGTTTTGTTTTTAAAGTGGATTCAGGTGAACCTACCCAGTGCAAAGTTATACTATTCTTTCCAAAGTAATAGGGAACCAAAGAAAATGTTTTTCCTGGTGTATCCGTGAGATTCCTGTGAACCAAGACTAATTTGCTAGTTCTAGGAGCAAGGGTGCAACTCTTACTGAGTTGAAAAATCAGAGAAAAAAGGGGAAGAGCCATTTCTGGGAGTTTCTGAGAAGGGAAGTGTCTGTGTAGCTTGTAGGACTCAAAGTCCCTTGCTGACCTGTGCACCTAATTCAGGATGATGCTTATTTCTCTGTATTGCACTCAACGTAAAGCAGCTTCTAGTTGGGGGATTATCCTATATGTAAGAGTATGTGTATGTATTTCCACTGTTGCTTCTCTTGTCTCTCACTTTATGGGTGTTGTGTGGCTATGTTAAATAACATACTAAAGCATATCTGGATCAGGAGGCTCATGGGCTTCATTTGGGAGGCTGGAACGCAGGTTGTGGAGTTGTATTTACAGCCTAGTGTAATGTCGCTTCTGGGGGGGCTTGGCCATGGGGGCCCCCAAGACCCCCATACCCCAGTGTTGAGTCATCAGAAAGTCATGCCTGTGCATGTCGCTGGCAAAAAGCTCGGGTCTTTTTCTGCCTCTTCTAGAATGCTGCCCACATGGCTTTGAGTGTCAGGTCAAAAATAACCTTGACTTTTTTTAGCAAACACAATCAATAAAACAAGAGCCAACCTGGCCGCCACCTCCTTCCCAGCTGTGGTTGCTCTGTAGCTTCTGGCTCGTGGCTGCTCCATCCCTCCCTGAAGGTCATTGCTTGGATGCTGTAGCTTCAGCATGCCCCGGTGGTAAACCCACATCATCCCATTCCTGCTTCTTTTTATGTCCTTTCTTTCTCTTGGAAGACCCTCTCTTTGGGTATGTAGGAGTTGCAGATGTGAAATGTCTTCAGCTTGTGTTTCTAGCCTTGCTCAGTCCTGCAGTCTTGTGGCCCAGGAGCTGAACTTGCAGTCCTGCCCTGTCTCAGAAGGGTTTCAGTGAGCCGTTGGATCTTTTGACTGACTCCTCCCAGTCTGTGTTTTGTTCTGCAAGTGTTCGCAGGGGCCTTGGATGTTGGCAGGGAATACGAAATGGCTGTAATAATGTCCTGTTTCTCATTCTGTCTGGGACACAGGCGATCCAAGCCGATGAGCAGGTCATTGAGGATGAACGATAACTTACACTGTCATGCAGCAGCCATTTGGGAGCTTATGCTGTGTCCTTACGCTAACCCCTCAGGGTATGCAGACAATTATGGAACATGTGGAAAGCAGAGGTGACTCTTGTGGGTCTCTACTTTTCTTGGATCTGCATGGTGAGAGCAGAGAAATATGTTTAGATTTAGTCCAGGCTTTGTATTTTTCTTTCTTGAGCTGGATGGTATTTGGGATATGGCTCAAATAAGTCCGTATACTTCTGTCACGCTAATTCATCTGTTCTTGTGCAACCACAAGGCACAGTGCTGGAGGAGGAAAGTGTAGCCCCTGTGACTGCTCTGGAAGTGGTCAAAGGTCCCTCTTCTGCTTACCCTCTGGACCACCATGTGGGGTCCTGCAACCTTCTTGCCTAGAATCATAGAATCATGGGATGGTTCTCAGTGTTGGCTCTTCACCCCAACCCTGCATCACTTAGAAATGTTTCCCCTCTACAGGGCCAAGTCCAAAGCCAACTATTGCATCAAGGCAGATGTGAGTTTGGGTGCATGTGTTCATAAATTTTGAAGTTGGGCTTCTTTCACATATTGTCTAAGGGGACCAGATGTTTTTCCCCTTCTCAGTGCACTTTCAGAGAGCACCATCTCCACCTGCTGCCCAGCAAAGACCCTCTTGAAAATGTTTATGCTTTCTGGTGGGAGGGTGTCTGAGTTTAATCTGGGAGAAAGTCCGAGCTGGCCAAGGACTGCCTGGGGGATGAAGACTGAGCTCCTTCCCCACCACACAGCATTGCAGCTTGTTAGCAGAGGCCCATGGCTGCAGCTGGCTGGCCATGCTGCTGCCAGCATCGCTCCTGTGCTGCTGATAACAGGGGACCCCGTTCTCTGGGGCTGTTGATCTGTCACCTTCCCACGGCTCTAATATTTACTGAATAATGATCTCACAGTGACAGATCTATTTCTGGTTTTGTTCTCTATAACATACCTGCAAGAGTGCCCCGGGCGACTGAGGAATTTATAATAAAGCCATGGTTTCCAAAGTGTTTGGTGCTCTCCTGCCAGCGGCAGTTCCAGCCAGCAAAGACTAGGACCCTGTTTGTCTACCCCAGTAAGAAATTGGATAAATGTGACTTTTTTTTTTTTCCATTTAGGCCCTGAGTTTTTGTTGAGAGGTTTTATTTGCATTCACTCCTTTTGCGTGAGCCGTCTCGATCATGTCTTTGTTTTACCAATGTGCGCAGTGAGGTGCAGAGAGGGGCAGTGACTTGGGCAAGGACATTCAATGGCTCGGTTGCACGTTTTACAGTCAAAACTGTTGGTAAAACCATGTTATTTGGCTTTCCCAAAGTGCTAGGAAAACAAAATAAAAAGCAGCATGAGAAACTACTTGATTTGGCAGCGTGATGCGTACTGTACCTGTCTGAGGGTACGGATGCTGAAGCCTAAGCAGGTCCAATCCCCAGACCTGTTGCAAGAAGGTTTTGGCTGAAGGAAGGTGGGAAGAGGTGTGGGGCTGGGTGATAGGGCATGACAAGCTCTCGCTATGTGCTGACCCCTGCATGGGCAGAGCAACCTTTTGGTTGTGCCACAGCTGAGCCTTTCCTTCTTCTCCACAGACACATAGAGAACTGGAAGAACTTGCAGACGCTGAATGCTGTTGACATGGAGCTGTACACGGGACTCCAGAGGCTGTGAGTATGTCCTGCGTGTTGGGGAGAACAGCACCGGGCAGCCCCTTCCAGCAAAGAGCTGCAGCTTCCCTCCATCTGCAGTCTCTGCGCCATGATGTTTAGAGCCTGTTTAAGCTACTGGCTCTGTGGTATTTTGCTACGAGACTCTGCAAAATGGAGCAGTGGTGCTTTTTGGTCTTTGCTGGGTCTGTGAGAAGGAAGATCGCTAGCTCCTGACAGCTCTGTCAACATACATGAGCCCTGACCTCTCTTCTCCCCCGTGGTTTTGGTTCTGGCCTTGTGCGTTGTTCTGACTCATTTCAGCCCCACAATGCGAAATTCCAGCTGTCGCCATTGATCCTTCATTGCTGGGCTGTTGGTCCTCATTTAGCACAGTTGCCATCACGGTGGTCCTGCACAATAAGGCAATTGCATCTCCCTGTGCAACCCTCCGAGCACCAGGAAAGGTTGACTTTGTGCATCACGGAGGGGAAGCTGAGGTCCATGAGATTGAAGGGGCTTGCCAGGTGCTTGGGAAGCCTGGCTGAGTGAGGATACCGCTCAATCCCTTAATTCCCCCTCCTAGAGCTGGGAGCACCCTGGGTGCTACTTGCATGAGATGCACAGTGCTGCTCAGGGTTAATTGGAGACTCTGCTAATGTGTTTCACTGGGAGCTTTACACCATGTACAGCTTGCTTGCAGGCTGGAGGAGAGGTGTACATTGCTGAGCACTCGATAACCCAACCCCAGCAAGCTGTACTTTTAACACACCCCCCCCTTGTAAGCAGGCTGGCTGCTGTTCTCATTTCACCTAAGAAAGCAGCAATGGAGTCAGGCATAGTTTTGTCTGCAGCAGATATTAATAAGCCCTGGTCATAGTGCTGATACAGCTTCTCCAAAACAGGGTGGGCAGAGGATTCCCCCTTCAGTGTCCATAACTCCCTATGCAAAATACTGACCCCCTCCTTATCAGAGCTGCAAGCAGAAGGGTTTTCTCTCGGAAGGGGAGATGGCAGTGCTGGGTGTTAGGTTTGCTGTGGGGCCAGGCAGTGCTGCTTGTGAAGATGGAGGGAGAAGAGGGGAGCAGAAGATGCTCTGGGCTGCTCCAGCAAGCCTTGGGGGATGTGTGGGGAGAGTCTCACCCAGCAGCAGCTCTGTGCTGTCACCATATCAGATGAAGCTGAAAAGCCCGATTTCCTTTTTGCTTGTAACTCATAGAGGCTGTCTGGGGAGAGATGTTCCTCCTGGGTGGGGGCACTGCAGGGCTCCCAGTTCACCTCAGGTGCTGAGCACAGGGTTTTAGAGCAGTCGTCACCCTTGACTCCATCGCTGCCCTTCTGTATGTCTTTGCAGGACAATCAGGAACTCAGGACTACGAAACATCCAGCCACGCGCCTTTGCCAAGAACCCTCACCTGCGCTACATGTGAGTGCCGGCGGCTCCTGCCCCCTTTTCCCTCTGCTCTCTAGAAAGGCAATCCCCAAAGCGCCCGTTGGGGAGAACAGCGGGAGGGACGGGGGATGCTCATGGGGAAAGGGAGGGGAGAGGTGGTAAAGGGCAGGAGAAGGAAAAGCGAAGGCACAGGGAAGTGCAATGGGCTGCGATGCAGAATGGGGCAAGCTCCTTCTGGGCAGCTGATGGGTTTAGGTTTCTACTAACTGCCCTGGCTTTGATTGCTGCTCTAACGAGCACTTGAGTTATTAGCAGCCTTATGGTGGCTGGTGTACATTTCCCTTTCTGCAGAGTTTGGGGGGCAGCTGCATGCCCCAGCACACAGTCGGAGCCTGCCCTGCTCGTTAGCTTTTGTGCCAGAAAGGTGCCCTTTGGTTAAATCCTGGGGTGTGAAGCTGCCAGCTCTGCTCCTAATTGACTTCTTAAACTGGCATCTGCAGCAGGCCTGGGGTAGGGACATTTTGTGCCAGAGAGACTAGAGGCCTGTTATCATGGGACATTACATAAGTGTCTAGCTGCTGGGGCATCGTTAGCCACCAGGTACAGTCTTCAGGGGAATTCCTGCATCCCTGAGGCCAAGGGCACTGATTTATTTTCTGGATATGTATTTACTTTTCCCAAGGGGATAAAGGAAAGCCTGAATTTCAGGTAAGTGTGCAAGGCACTCCATGGCATTGAAATAGCTCATCAAAGTGACTGTGTCTGAGATCAAACCCCTCTCAGCTCCAGTATAGATATAAAAGGTGAAAAGGGGTTGGTGAGAGGCCCTGGCCTTAGGCATGAGCTGGTGGGCTGGATGTGCGTATCCCTGCTTTTTGGAAACTAATGCTAGTGGCTTCTTCCATGAAAGACAGCCGTAGCATGCAATCTGTTTGAGTCTGTGGATGCATGTGGCCATCGATATGGGCATGTTCCTGGCGGAGGGAGATAGATGTGACCTGCAGAGCAGGATAGATTTGTCTTTTGATATCTGCTCAGACATGATGTGAACTGAAAAACACCAAAAGCTTCTTTTTTGGAAAACCAGTTACAGTTGCTAAGTGACGGTAAAGTACTTGCTAAATAGGAGATCTGCAGTATCAAAGGGCAGGAATAGTTAAGGATGTGTGAACAAGCATGGAGCTTTTTTGAGTTTAAAGAAGTGCATCTTTTGTCATAATAAACCCTTCTTAAAGCTGACCACTGGGATTTTCCTGATTTCTGTGCTTTGTTATTTTGATTTGTAGTGTTTGTTTTGTGTTTTCTGTAGTTGTTTGTTACTGGGAAGTGTTCTCTCTGAATACCTCTCCCAATTGATTTTTTTTTTGGGGGGGGGGATGGGATGGATGTTGTTTGTCAATTGTGCAGTTGCTGTTTATGTATCTAGCAGATAAAATGAATAACATTTGATTCCTGATGAAATTAGTTTGGATGTCATAGGAGTTTAGAAGGCCATGAATGCTCGTTTTGAGGCTAAAAGTGTCATTAATGTGTACACATGCAATTGTTGTTGCTTTTTCCAAAAGTGTTTGTTTTTGTCTTTTGAGATTACTTTTGAGATTGGAAAAAACCCCACATCCATCTTGTGTCAAGAGTTAAGGTTGGTATGTGGTGATGAAATATGTGTTTGTTTACTGCTTGGGCCGTGTAAGATTGATCATGTTCTTAACATCTTTCTTTCCTTGCCTTTTGAAGCTTGAGGCAAGTAAGTGTATTATTTGGTTAGTGTTTGCCAGCGGGTTTTGATGCTGTTCCTGGCACCTAGCAGCATGGATGTTTGCAAAGTGGATGTCCCCCATGGCAGATACCGGGCACCTGGGGATGGAGACCTGGTGCTTGCAGGGATGGTGGCTCCCTCCTGCTCCCCAGAGGCTCTTGGACCATGGTGCTGCTGCTCCCTTGTAGCCAGGCAGCTTTTTCTGGGGTGGCTCCCCAGGCTTTGTGCAGCCTGGCAGGCACCTGGTGCCACCTGGGGTTCATGGCCACGGCCGTGGCACCATGCAAATGCATTGGGGTGCCTCCTTGGCTGCTCCGCAGCCGCTACCTCCCGGGAGCGTGGCTCACCAAAGTCCTGACATTTTCTGCAGCCGCTGCACGTAGGAGCCAGGGATAAAAGGATTAATGGAAATGTCACTCTGCTGTAAGTCTTGGGCTGCCGTAACCAGGTACAGTAGCTGACAGGAGTGAGGGATACTGTCCCAATCCCTTTGTGGTGGGGCTGGCTGCAGCTAGATGGGGGCTGGGGCTGGGGCCTGTGGGATGTTGTTCTTAAGGCTTGTTGAGTTACTGCTACGCGTTATCGCTGCTGCTTGGTTTTTCCTTCTCCTTTGCTGGCTGTTTGGATGATTGCAAGTGGAGTTGAGTCAATAAGATGGCAAATGTGTCTAATGAATGACAGAGAGGTTTCGCTGCCAGGGAGGGCTGGCACAGGGTGGTGGGGACCCTGGGCTGGACCTTTGCAGGGTGCTATAAGCTGGGTCTGAGCAGCAGCAGCAGGCGTTTTTCCACACAGAACTTGTGTATAAACTGTGAGGACTCAAAAGCTGGTTCCCTCCCATCCTGAGTTAAATCCTAGCTTCCTGCTGAAGGGAGTTTTTTCCTAGTGCCTTTCATCAAGGTTTGCTCCTCTCAGATGGGCCAGATAGCTCTGCCTTCTCCCAGCAACTTCTATTTCTGGCCCTTCCTCTGTGCATGTGCTTGTCTTCAGACCCCAGCTGTGCAATCACAAGCAGATCACTTATCCCAGCTCTAATTGCATGAGCTCGGGTTTGCGGGGGTTTCTTTAAGATAATGGTTCTGGATGAGGTTTGGCTTGTTTTTTTTCTCCCCTTCCCCATCACAAGAGTTGGGGAGGAAAGGCAAGAAACCCACGAAGGGCATTTTCAGCCTTCAGCTGCCTGAGTGGTAGAGCTCAGAGTGGTCCAAAGTGCAGCCTGGCAGAGTCAGTCATGCCTGTCCTTTAATGTTTGAAATTAGCTGTATAAGGGTAAGGGGCATGAGGCCAACCTAATCAGTGGAGGAGCAGTGGGTGACTGGGAGCCAGAGTTGTGGATCTAGAAATAGCTTTGGACCTCTCTCCCTTCTCCTTGAATGAGGAGAGGTAGGGCTCCACAGCATCGGTGCTGTGAAGCCTATCATCATGGTTTAACCCCAGCTGGTAACTGAGCACCATGTAGCTGCTCACTCACTCCCCCTGCCCCCCCCAGTGGGATGGGGGAAAGAATCGGGGGGAAAAAAAAAAGTAAAATTCATGGGTTGAGATAAGAACAGTTTAATAGAAAGGAAAAAACTAATAATGATAATTATAATAATAAAATGACAATAATAATAAAATGATTGGAATATACAAGTTGCTCACCACCCGCCGACTGATGCTATCTCAGCCGAAACCAGCACACCTATCACTGGTACAGAGGCAATTAATCCAAAATATATAACAGCGGGTTTTGCATGTGGATCTGCCTTTTCTGGTGGTACTTGGGCTGAGGTGGTTGACTCCTTCCAGAATAAGTACTGGCTAGGTGTTGAATGGGGATGGATGTGGGTCTGATCTAAACTGGATATCATCCAGTGCCATTTTGTGCCCTCACTGGAGGTCTTTCTGCTGGGAAAAGTTGCATTGGTGGGTTCCTGGTCCCATTTCTGTGCAGCTTTCACAGCCCTTCAGCTAATATGGGGATGGTCCTGGAGAACACCACACACTGGATGCGAGGACTAGCAGGTCTAGGCTGTGGAAAACTGAGCCCTTGTAGTCAAGATTTGTGGAAGTTAGTGATAGCAGGTGATGCGGGTGAATGTAGGAAATGTTTGTTGACAGTAAACCTCAGCCTTTGGCTTGAGGCTGTACAAGAAAACTTTAGGATGATATGGTTCCTAAATTTGAGACATACAAACCATGTGAATACATATTTATTATGTTGCTGTGTTTAGCACAGCTTATTGAGTAAAGTCTTGCATGCTCTCACTCTCTGTTCTTCTAATAACACTGAAATGCTTTGGCCAGTTGATGGAGGATTACAAGTCATGAGGATAGCAAGTTCCTACACGTATCATGAAAATAAGCAGAGGAATAGTAAAGAGAGATTGTTGTAGTGCCTTCTGGGGAAGAATACAACATTATCACATTCCTCATTAGGCACTGGGAAATCTGCAGGAGAGCTCAGCTTCACAGAGCACCAGGAATCAGTGCACAGGAGAGGACAGGACGTGTTTGCTGCTGGCCAAAGCGTCCAGCCTTTGCTGGCTGTGGGACAGTGGAGCTGTAGGAGAGTAGGCTTCCAGCAGGTTGTGCCTAGAGCTAGGCAAGTTGACGTTTGTAATGCCTGAGTCCCTCTTTACTGGGAAGCAGGTACTTAAGAGACTGTGATTCCCTCTGAATGCTTTCCTGGGTGGCTGCATACTCAGCCAGCCAGTCAGGAGGCACTGCCTTGTATTTGCAGAGGGTAATTGTGCACACCTTATTTATTGTGTAGTAAAGAAAACAAATTAATGTTGTGTAATTATAGAGACAGGCACACTTTTAAATAAGGCTTAAGTAGTCAGAAATCTGTTTAGAAAATTAATAATTGCCATTTCTGTCTGCATTCAGAGGCTCTTCTTAAACTGTCTTCTGGAGGTTTATACATGCTCTAAATTGGTTTGTGAGCTGGCCAAGACACAGCTCCTGTCAAAGAGCTCTCTCTCAGCACTGCCTGCCATAGTAAGGATGGGGTTCAGGATCAAGCTTTCTCTTCTAGACTTTACCCAAGGGTCTTAAAGATGGAGACCCTGGAGTGCTTTTTGCTGAGTGTAACTGGTTTTTGAGTATGGTATGGTCAGATCACCTGCTCCACAGGTATCTTTATCTGTGTGATCCTGTCAGTCTTTTTCTCCCAAAAATGAGGATTGGGGAAGATCTGGAAGGTGCTGGCAGGAATGCACAGGGACCTGCTCTGCCTGGTGAAAGACTGAGCTGGCTGATCTGTGGGCTTGTTTTCACAGGCAAACCTGAGCTG